TAATTTTGCATAGTAATTTTTTTCTTGATGCACAGTAGCCGGCTGGTAGCTTACCGGAACGATGCCCATCCGTTACCGGTAGCTCAGCCAGCTTGTACCAGTTGCATTTTTCTCTCCTTTTTTCTATGTATTGCGGCACAGTAGCTGAGGTGTTCCCCACCTCTAGCTAACGTGTATGATGATGATGATGATGACGTGGACTCAGTACAAAATAACTCGATCGTGGTGCGGAATAAACATACGATCAGTGGAAGAAAGCATGAACCTTTCAGCATGCATCGGACCGAGTTGCCATGAGAATTCCGCTGAAGTCAACTGGCTGCACACGTCCAGGGCGATGACCGCTGTGTTTTGACAAGTTAAATATTCCCATTTCATCAGAAAGTTGATATGTTTACCTAAGGAACTTACACACAGTTGATACCCAGGTGAGTTGGGAAGCGATCAGTGCACTGTCTAATCCAACATGTGAAATAAAAGATAACGCAAACGGTTCAGGTGAATTCAGTAGACCAACTATCATCAGTGCATTGAGGTGCGGTGGACCCAGTCGCTTTGACACACGTCCCCAAAAAGAATAGCAGCAATAATGATAGTCAGTATCATTGATATTATTAGTAAACAGACCTGTGTAGTTCCCAGCTTGCGGTATAAAGTCCCTATGTAACAGAGATCAATTGGTTATATAATTATTAATTATTATTATTATTAAGGACTAGGAGGAATGGAATGCTTAGCATTCAGAAAGTAAGGAGCAAAGACAAGTATGCTACTGACTACACCATCTTATCGAGAGGCTATCCAACCAATGTTGCAGCCGCCAATCCGGAGAACCCCGTTTAGGCGGGCGATAAGGAGCAACCCGAATCAACATCTCGGTGAGCCTCACCATGGATAGCCACCTGGAACGCCTCCGACCAACTGAGTGCGCTGTTGGTAAGCAATAAAAACCGAGGTAATCGTCACGCAGACATGGGGAGCGCGTACGATCCAGCTAGCGAGGGCGATTTAAGTTCAACCGGCACTCTAGTGGGGCACTAGGAAGGGTTGTTGCCAAACAGTAAACCGCATAAGTGGATTGGCGGGTTTCGGAGCACCCACTGTGTCTTTTAGATAGCGACACACAATTTCAATCGTGACTTCGGTTGACTTTGAGGTTAATCCGTGCCATTCCGATCATTGGGACCGTCTCCGAAGTGGAGGGTTCCGGTGTGGCTCTCTCACATCACTGCACTCCACGACGCGTTGCGTCCTCATAGGGACTACACATCAGAGGTACGTAGCCACTGAATTCACCCTCAAACCATTAGGAAGGATCGGTGGTCAAACGCAGTCAGGCCTCACAGCGCGTAGCGACTAGATCTCTGATCTATCTACACTAGCCACTTTAAACCTGAAAAATGCGTGCAGCAAAAGCAACGTTGTCGTGGCCAAATACCAGCGTTACTCAACCCTTTGATTACGATCTGAGTTTGCCTTGATTCACCTGCCGTGAGATTTATTTCTTCGTTTGCCGCTAAACATCACAGTTTTAGCGCTAGGCCGATTTTTATCAACTCTTTACATTAAGCAACAGCCTGAATGGACAACACCTGCTGTGGTTAATTCCTCTGTCTGGACGTCTGAGCTTGGTGAGTTTATTCGAAAAGGAGTCTTCAGCCAACACCCGCGCTTGTGTCGGGATTTCTTACCAATAAGTTATTGTTTGCGAGGAACAAGGCTCGGAGAAACAAAGCTATATGATAAGCACTGGTGGTATGTAACGCGAGCGGAATCAGGTAACAATACATCGTTGCACCTACAGGTAACACTATCGGTTGGGCGGTGTGAATCCTTCTGACTGATGAACAGCTTCGGCAATGCACCATCATTCGGAACCTGGGCGAGCGGTATTCGGTTAAATTTGAACAATATTACCATATAATGGGGCCAAAAGAATTATCGCTTTCATCGGATTCAATGAGGCTAGACTTAGTCTGTGTATGGCATATATCCCACCTACCTTAGGATATTGTTCATTTGTGTGCGTTAGAATGCGGAGGCCCCATAAATTGGCCCTTGAGGGGGTTCAGAGGCGCTTAACGAAGCCAAGAACGACTATTCCTCAAAGATCAGCAGAAAGCCAAGTAGTATCATGAGGTTAGAGGAGGAAACACCTGAATATCACACATGTCCACTTAAGAAGACAACTGAACAACATGGAAGCCCTCAGGGCGCGCAACATTAATGACGCCGAGGAGGTCCTGCGCGAGGCAAGTTCATCTGCCACATGTTGGAGTGTGCATGACGATGCATAAATCCACCCTAATGATGCAACTAGTTCCTGTACGTACAGGTCAAATGCGTTCGGATTTCTTTTCCTGTGGGTGTTGCGAGCGACTGCGGTATAAGTGCGCGGCGGTGTTCTGTTCATTCTGATTTCCAAGACCGTCTAGGTTGTACATCTCTCAGTGGCGCCGAAAGTGGGGCATACGTGCAAAATAAAGTATGACTGAGAGAGGGTTCTAACACAATAGTCTAAATGCACCAGTGTGACAACGGTTCTCGAAACTGTGAAGCTTTGTGAATCCAAGCAAGAGAATGACAACACAACTAAAGAAACTGTTCGGCCGATGCACCGAACGAACGCAGATGCACGGCTTCACAATGTACTAGTGAATCGACACGGCCAACAGACTACGATTGGCTAGGCGATCAGGTAACTAAGAATAGTGTGTCGCGGTAGCCAATCGGTAAGCAGGACATAATCGGACCTCAAAGTCGAGGCAGAGATGTACGGAAAGCAACGGGAGTCCACAGAGAGGTGGGTTTGACCCAAAATACATTCGTTTTTCAGAGAAAGTGCTAGGACTCCACTCCTGAGTATGTGCATTTCGGTGGGAATGAAGCGCTAGACAGAGAGCACAGAGGGCTAACATTAAAAGCGGATCTTTGCAAAATATCCTTATGAACTGCATAAATCCTGCGCAACGCATTACAGACGGATTGTTTGCAGGGCATCAGCAGTACGCCGACGCATCGAAGCGAAGCTTCGATGCAATGCGGCCACCGCCAGTCGGGGACGGGATAGGGGTACTTCGATTTCGCCGGCGTCTATGCAGATTCAAACCGGTAACGCTTCAGGTAAAAGTAGACGCTTCATCCATTTGACAACCGGTCGGTTGCTCTCGAGGAATAGCCGTATTGTGGATGTCGCCTCGAACGTAACAAGGCAAAAAGTGAGGAGTTTCAGGAAAAGTACACCATAAGAGACATAAAAACAGCAGAATACATTAGCACACATACAGAAGTCAGAGACTCGGAAAGGATTTACGTCTTTAGGTAATCAAATGCATTCCGGGGGTGAATGGATCGTACACTAGAAACGAACCTCACCTTGGCGTGTTTCACCTCCAACTCAGCCAGTTCGACCAAATTCTTGTGGAAATACTTGATCCTACGAACTTTGAAGTCTTCTAATTCTGTTGTTATTCGAAAAACAAGCAACATGAGAGTATCTCATTGACAGTGAGGGGATAGAATGTCACGTCAGAGAGAGAGCAAACTTGGGAATATTGTCTAGGGATAGAATAGAAAGCAAGGGATTGCAAACAAGATTATGCGGGCCGATGTGAAGACCAGACGCAATGCCCGTGATGAAAATATCGAATAGTAATTTCGTCAGGCCAAAAAATCGTACGATTTGTCACAGATTGAATAGTCCACGTCAAATCGCAAAGCACAGAGACGCGTCCCTCGTTGATAGTCCAGAACGTCATAATTCTGTAAGCACCGTTTTCTCATACACACCGAATGTAATAAGGGGTAGATGTTGAGGCACGCAACATGTTGATGAAATGTTCAGATAAAATATCAAGCATCATATCAAAGGACTGTCCGATCCAGGAACGGTTTATCAAGCAAGCGCGTATGTGAACCGCTGTCTATTCCTGATCTTGGAATGTTGTGCACTACAAATTTTCAATTTCGACACAGTCCGAATAGTAAATAGTGCGGGGCAGTTCGTCTATGTGTTGTAACGCTGCTTTCCCTCTGCTCTCTGCCACTGACAACTAAGCCGGAGGGAGGAAGGGGAAGAAACAGAACACCGAGCCTGCTAGACCGAAGTGCCTTAGGCACAGAACATGGTTAATTGTGTAGGTCACATGCGCTTACCTAGCTGCTGTCACTGAGGTGAATCACATCTCTTGTCTGGGCAGATTCGATCTTGGTAGCGACTTTGACTGTGTGGCTATAGGTACGATCACATCCGCCTCATAGCAACCATGCGATGATGGCGATTTGATTTCATCAGCTCCAGGCATGACTCATCCGTGTTAACGTCGATCGGGTAGCAAGCCGTATCATCCAGACAGACGTCTCGAAATCATGTCACGTTCTTAGGCTGCGACTTGCTAGAGTACCCCATCGTAATCATCGGTTTCGCCTCTGTGACACTATGACTGTGGTGATTCATAAACGCACATAGTCCACGCCGAAGTTGACCATCTTAATCCATTGCAAGTTCTATCCATGAATACGGCAGCACTATGTATGGTGACATGCGCATAAGAGACACAAAACTTCCAGAGCATTCACAGAAGCGCTTCCTTAAAAGTCTGTTCAGCAACCCCCCTACTACGAAATGTTAGCAGTGTTCCGAGTATATCCTTCGACTGCGACGACAGAGGCGCAACTTGATGCCGCTACATAACTTGGTAACGCAAAAGGTCTACTCTAATCTCTCTGTTAAAAAGGAAAATCAATTTCACCTCGAGACTTCGCACCAAAAGTTGCACAATAACTGTGTAAAAGAATATAGCAGCGACTAAAACCCAATTTTGCCCATCAGCTACACACCCTGTGGAGTAGCCCACCGACCATAATCAGACACAGTGTCAATCTGAGCACCAGCATCGTCGTCATCATCATCAACAGCAGAATATCAACCATGTGAAGTGATGCTTCACTGCCGTACAACCACAACGATCTACGGAACGAAGAATAGTAAGAGGGACATACCGGAGAACCTTAATGCCCTAAACAAACGTTCAGCGGCAAGTTACCTACAGCTTGTCAACCACGTACCGTCACAAGCGGTTGGCTATCGTGTAAAGATAAAACGACATTGGCAATACAGATTCCTTGCAGCTTTCACTGGACCGCATTATAATCAGCCATTACCTCGCAGATAACTCAGTAACAAACACATTTCAAAACATTTCAAACAGTCAGTCAGAATACGAAATGACAGCAGACGCGCCAATGGAGCCGACAGCGATCCATATACTGTAACGTCTCTAGCCAAGCACAAGGCGGGTCACGTGGACTCCAGCCTGGAAGGCGGGACGGACCGACGGTACCCGGTTTGGTCGTTAGTGACTTTATTTCCTGCTTCCAAGTTAAGTTTTGGTCACTTCGGGCCTTGGACCACCCTACATCTGACAAACAAAACAAAGCCCTATTCGATAAACGGTGACCGGGTATACGTAGTAACTAGCCAAGCCAACACAACTTACACAGTGCCATGTGCTGTTCTAATGATCTAGCTTGGGTATCATTGCCTAGCACTCGCCTATGCACATCATCGCCGTGGACACGCTGGTGCCATCCGACACCAATAATCCTTCGCAGACAGTAAGGATTAAATATTTAAAGGGTTCCCAGACTGAAGGGATAAGCCTAGAGTAGGGCGTCCCTCAGTGCGATCTTGTAAACATGACTTTCAGACCTAAGAAAACAAACCTCTTCCTATCGCCAAAGATGTGGCAGATTTAAGAAAGCGGTTCCAGCTTTTGCAATACGTGGGCTGACTTCAGTGCTTAGGTGCCCATCTTTACTACCAAAGTAAGTGAATTGGTCAAGTACCACGAGTTCCTCGTTGGCAAGGGTCAATGGATCATCAAGTGGCTAGCGGTCCTGCAACATCAACATTCTGCACTTTGAAAGTGTGAAGCGCATGCCAAATGTAGGTTATTCATGGTTAATTGGGCCGCCCCAACATTGTTAAACAACAAGAGAATATCGTCCACATAATCGAGATCAATTAGCTTTTCACCAAGCAGCACCTCAACGTCTGCATCAGATTCCGCAAGGGAAACACTCTATGATACAGTCCAAGAAGAAGATGAACAAAAGTGGGGAAATAGAGTAACCCTGACGAACGTCACTTGTGATCGGGAAGATATCCGACAAGTCGCCGTAGACTCTGAAACGGCCTGGGATGTTCGAGTACAGGGTGCGTAAAATGTTCACATATTTCATGGGACCACCTTTCCGCACAAGCATCTCGAAGAGAATATATCGATCGACTGAGTCGAACGCACTCTTTAAATCAAAGAACACAGCTATTGTCGGTCTGCGGTACGTGTAGCGCTGCTCTAATACCCGCCGCAAAGTGAATATGTGGACTAGACGGCTCCGTCCGTCCTGGGCAGGGATCTGCCTGCTTTTTTCTAATCAGGGAGGCGACGAAACAGAATCGAGACCAGTAATTTTGTCACAACTGGCATTAGGCTAATAAATCTATGGTTAGCACAGACAGTGCACCACCGTTCTCGTATAATGTCGATAATCGATTCACTCCAGTTAGCTGAGATAACCTTTTCATTTCAGACTTGTCCGAATGGGTAGGTAACTGCTTTGCAAAAGACCTCACCTCCATCCTTAAATAGTGCAAGTGTGACGGAATCCGGACCAGCAGCTCGAAATCGACCACTGGCTGTAATCCGCTTTCGGACCTCAGCCTCCGATGAAACAACTCAATTAGCCGGCAATGGCTCAGCCTTCATCACATGAGAAGGAAGGAGTCCGGAAGTACAGTTAACTGAACTGCTCACGAAATTGTTCCGCCAGTTTCTGATTGTCTTACTGATGCCTAGTTTTCTGGGACCAATGGTGCGGATCAGTTGGAAGAACTTGAAATCATTGTCTACTGCTTCCGCATCCCCACCTCTCGTGCCCAACTAGTCCACTAGGCTTCCTTGTCATCACGCAGGCTCCGCTTTAGGTCGTGGTTGATAGTCCGTCTGGTCACATTGTGCTGAGAGTCATCCGGAAGACTTCTTCTGGATTCCAACAAGTTCATCGACCACTCCGATATCCATTGGCTGGTGCGGTGACGATTGTACCACCAACAGGTGTTCCTGCGTCGTGAATGAAGGCCGAAATACTATTGCACTGAAGCTCAATGTCATTTGGACAAGAGAGCGAAAGTTCGACACGCAGAGTATCCTGGTAGGCTTGTCTTACGGGGGAATGAGCTAAATTTACAGTCGCCAATCAAGGGGAACGCTTGGTACGCTTTCCGGTAAATTTCACAGAAAAAGCGAAAGCGCTCTAAGGCGGGGCTTTTAAGTTGACCGTTGCCTTTTCCACCGAACATTATTGTTACATTACCTACTGTAGATATCTCAGTTCTGCAAGATTATGCTGAGAGATATTTTGTTCAATCAGCTTCCAACGTCACTGAGACCTCTACTAGTCATCCAAATTTTGAATATAAACGCGGAAATATCGCGCACGATATCCGGCCTATTGTCTTTGGACACAGCAGTTTAGGTCAAGTGAAACGCATTCTGAGAAAAGGTTTTATTGAAAACTTTTCTGTTTTGAATGGATACAAATCTCGAAGATGTATTTCAGCCTTTTGGGATCGTTCCTTGATCGATTTGTGACAATGTATCTTTCTCGTTGTTCGACCCATTTGTAAGCTTAATATTTTTAATGCTAACGCTTTGGTAAAATCCCAGATGAGAATGTAAAATGTTGAAAATGCACCCATTTGGGTACATAAAGCTGATACTGACTGGATTTGACTATAATCACCATCTCGATTAAGCTTAAAAGTTTCCTCGAACTAAACTCAATATTATCTGTGCGCCTATCGGAAATATCGCTCGAAGAATTCTTTCAGAATGGACTGAAAATTACAAAGCCAGTTGAACCATAAAGAAAATAGGTATAACCATTAGAGATGGTGCATTTCATGGTGTGTTAGTAGCACAAAGACAATCGAATCCACATACTACTCATGCACAAACACGATGGTAACCGTACAAAGTGATCTGTCCAGAGAAGTATACATATATTCCGATTACCCGAGGTGAGGCACAAAAGATCGAGCGAGGTCCAACACGTTGTTAACAGGCTCATTCCGAGTTTACGTGCTTTGCAGTAAGAAGACCGGTGCGAGAAACTAGGACTCTACACCTTGTCCTACCGTCGGGTTCGAGTCGACCTCATTATAACATACCGTATTCTACATCCCGGTGACCTCCCCATGCTGAGGCCAATGCTGTACGTACGATGGCCATGCATCACACGCGGACACAGATACAAACTTGTCGTGCCGGATGTGAAGCGAGTTCCCCACCCACTGTGTTTCGAACGGAGAGTGGTAAATATTTGGAACAGTTTGCCTGAACATGTGATGGAGGCAAGATGTGTACAGCAGTGGAAAATGTTGTTAGATTTATATTTTACCACTATTCGATTCAGAGAACGATTGAACACTTACGATGATATGTCACATTCGTGAGTCCTGCAATATCGTGAGTCAGATATTTTAAATGTTACATGAGAATGATAATGATATTAACGGCTGACAACTCTTATAACGTTTTTCAACATATTTCAAAAGAGTTGTACAGAACTCATTTCTACTTGCTCTATAATAGAGTATTCAGTATACATATCACTGTAAATCAGTGGATGGCGAATGCAAGATGCTAGTTCGCGGAACGTGCCAGTGGGATTAATAAAGCGGAGACCAGCGTGCACTCACCTGATCTGGCAGACTGAGAGATGATCTTGAACCGATCATTGGCAGCGAATTGCGCGTCTTCTGCAACTTGGACATCCTTCATCTTGGCACGAGCCTTATCCAAAGCCCGGTTGGCTGACTCATAGGTGGCCAGTGCTTGGCTACGTCTGTACAAAAGATCTTTCGCCGCTTCAGCGTCACTAGCATAGTAGCGCAGAGTATCGGTAAATTTCAAGTCTTCATCCGATGCGAGGCGTGTTTGTAGTTTCTGTAGAGTGGCACCAAGAAGGACGGTAGTCAAAAATAGAATAAATGGCAGACTATGGTATGGAATTCGACAAGCGGCATCCAAAAACCGGGTCAATCAGGTCAGAGAGCTGATGGTGGTGGCAAAAGCGATGATGAGGTTATCTTGGTTGCGCAGAATGTCTCAAACCAAAGAGGCACAAGGAAACATCACTGACAGATGGATTACATACAGCTATCGAAAATATGACTTACACAGCCAAGTCGCGTCGCCTAGGTAGACATTGTGAGACAAAGAATCGTTAACGTTTACAGCCGACCGCGTAACGAATCCAGAAAAGAACGAGGATGGTGGTAGTGGTGGGATAAACGCTTTTCTTCTGAGCTAAGTTCGATGGAACCAAATACGAAAGAACGGTAGTTAGGTGACCGCTAGGCAAACGATGTACGCGTAATGCACGTCACGAAGTGAATGGGTGGAACATTGGGTTGTAATATGCTCCGACTGATTGGCAGCTTACCTATGCGACTTGGAATCTAATTGCGATGAACCAAATAGAATCATACCCAATCCCACGTCTACTAATTAGTAAGCAAAAACTAAGCCCTATCAGTATTCAAAATTGCTGTGTGGATTCACGGCGATGGCAAGGGAAGTTCCGACTCAGACGGCCAACCACTGTCTTCTGCATGACAGTGGAGGATGGGTCGGGCTACATCGCAGTTAGGTTTCAATCCGTGATGGTCGGCTATCGTCTCCCATGGCTTAGTGTCATAAGCTTCCGGCTAGTTGGCGTTAGCCTCTAGCAGTTATGGGTTCGATCCCCAGTAGGGGACCGATGGATGCGCACCACTGACGAGCCACAACAGAGCGAAACGCGCGTCTGGTGCTTTTCCGGATTGGCAGCTTACCTATACGGCTTGGAATCTAACTGCGATGAACCAACTTGAATCATAGCGAAATCCGTCTACTCGTTAGTAATCAAAAGCTACGCCCTACCAGTATTCAAAATGGCTGTGTGGATTCACGGCGATGGCAAGGGAAGATCTGACCGTGACGGCCAAGCACTGTCCTCTGCACGGGCAGTAACCTGCATGACAGTGGAGGATGGGTCGTACTATATCGCAGTGATGGTCGGCTATCGTCCCCCAGGGCTCAGTGGCATAAGCTGCTGGCTAGTCGTGGAAGCCATTAGCGGTCATGGGTTCGATCCCCAGCGGGGGACCGAGGGAATGCGTACCACTGAAGAGCCCCAATAGAGCGAAACGCGCGGCTGGTATTTTGCCGGATCGGCACTTCACTTATATAACATGGGATCTTACTGCGACGAAATAAATCGAAGCGTTTTTAAATCTGTCTAATTAGTAGTATTTTCTGCTTGGAAGACCGTATGCCAGGAACATAGCATGCGTAAACTGAGGGGTTGAAAAATAGTCTGAACCACCATACAGACAAGGGCCATCGGTTTTCGATGATAAACATCAGACAGTATGTCGGATCGAGGGTCAGGTAAGCCAGACATTCTCAACTTTTATTCAACTGTGGCTCGCTTTTGAACCTTTTCATTTCTCATCCCCCCAACCTTTGAGCATAACAATTTCAGTAGTCCGTAAAGCCTAATAGACGTAAATCTGTGATTTCCAAGGATTACATTCGTACCGTTTGTTATGATGGCTGAAGTTGTAACGTTAATATCACAGCTCTTTTCTGTATAAACTTCGTTTGTGAAATTTCACGGCTTAAAGATATCATTCATTTCGCGGTAACATCAACCCCTTGTCTGTAATTATACAAAAGTCATCATTAACAGTTCAACTTGTATTTAATAATTGTTGGCTTTTAACTCTAAGGCATATCATGAATTGCGAGGTGTAGTAAATTCGGAACAATATGTTTG